CGGATTCGAGGATTACCGTGTCCTCCCCCTCTCTTCGGACTTCGGATAATCCTATAATATGCCAGCGCAACTTGTCTATCTCTTCTTCCAGCTCCACGATCTTCTCGTCAGTCCTCAGGGTGCGTGCGTTGTACGTTGCCAGGTCGAGTCGTCTAAGGTGGCAACCGAACCTCCACCGGAGATTCTTAGCACCCCCTGCCCCGCCGTTACCATGGTCGCCACCGTAGCCAGGAATAGCGGGGCCGCCGGGGACTGGGGGCCGTTTTTTTGTTACTGTCATTCATAGGGGGGTATTTGCCATAGTTGCCACGCTTGGCGAGCGGGTTGGCAACCGCAGTTTTTTTATTGTAATTTGGCTATTATCAGGAAGATGCTGCTGCCCATCTCCTGCCTGTTTCCCTTTGTCGCCTTTTACGACACCCACGGGAGGATATGGGGTAGTGGATATTCTTGACCGCCACTACATTACACACATTATTTTGGAGTAGCCATTCATTTATATATTTAAGTGTTTCATTGATTGTTTGGTTGTAGCTTGCGGCTTTATCACGGTTTGGAATTACTACTGATAAATCATCTGCATATAAAACTGATGGATAATTAATTAATTTAGGTTCCCTTGTGGGACACCGTATTTATTATATAGAAGAGGTGATTTAAATGAAACTATTTCATAACTTTTATTTATCTTACTGATTTCTATGCATTGCAGACGATTAAAAAGGTAACTCCTAATCCAGTTCAGAGCATTCCCTCTTATACCGCATCTTTCACATTTAGTCAAGAGTATCTCATGATCTACAAGATCAAAAGCCTTGCTCATATCGAAAAATATAGACACAACTGGCACCTTCTTGTCTATGTTTTCTGTTATTATTTTTATTAGAGAGTAGGCTGCAAGAGTTGTCGATTTATTCGCCTGGAAGCCGTTTTGCTCTTCAGCTATTACACTATGCTTTTTAAAAAAGTCTATAATTCTTTTTATCATTACCTTTTCAAAAATTTTAGAAAGTATAGGGACGAGAGTTATTGGACGGTAGTTGTCCATATCTTCAGTACTATTTTTCTTATGTAAAGGCTTTACTATAGACTGCTTTAGAGCTTCGGGAAATACACCTTGAACAAAAGAAATGTTTACGAGGAAGCTCAAAAGAGGTTCAAGTTTTACTATACATGACTTAAACAATAATGTAGGCAGTAAGTCAATACCCACAGGTTTGGTGTTATTTAAAGATTTAACTATATTAGTAATTTCTTGTTCAGAACATGGCAATAAAAATAAGCTGCTACATACATTATTAACGTAACGTTGCAATGGGACTACGATATTATTTTGTTTATTATTAAAATTTAAAAAATAATTATTAAAGGCTGTAGCAATTTTATAAGGATCATCAATACTCTTATTATTTACCATTATCTTATTAATTTCATTAAATTCTTTCATTCTATCACTATTATCCTTGATTACACTCCAGGCTGCTTTGCATTTATTTTTAGCGTTTGTAAGTATTCTATTATTGTATATTCTCTTTGATGCGTTGACACATTGTCTTAATAATTTAGTATATTTTTTAAATCTCAGCTTACTTTTCAAGGTTTTGTCTCTATAGTGAAATTACCTGAGTTCTTTTTTTTGTACTAGATATTGTAATGCCTTTTGTTATCTATTTTGGTCGTACGTCATTTACTTTTACTTTAATCCTTTTCTCTGGGAAAAAAAGTTTAAAATATAAGCATATATCTTCGTGAAAATTATTGAATGCTGTATTCAAGTTAGTTTTATGTCTATATACCTCACTCCAGCTAAGATTAGAAATGCATTCCTTGAATTTATTTATATTTTCTTTAGTTATTTCTCTAACCTTTTTGTACCAGTGATTCAGGTTTCTTTTCATTTTTGCAATATTACTAAATTCCAAGGTTTGAGCAGTATCATGGTCAGATAAATAGAGATAGTGGACTCTGCCTTTAGCGTCTTCGATATTACTAGTAAAATAGTCAATACATGAGTTAAGCCTTGTAGGAACGTCAATATGAAGTTTTAGATTATAAGTTGCCAGTACGATTTTTAGTTGCTTAGTTACGTTATTATTTTTTAGTGTATCGATATTCAGATCACCGGCAAGAATTATTTTTCTTTTTCCATTCCTAGTTAGCCTAAATAAGAGAAGATCAAATGCATTCATAAATACAGGTAAGTTAGAATTATCAGGTATTCTATAAACGCAAATTATAATACAATTAAACAAGGGTATGTCAACAGCACACGCCTCAAAATCTCTCTCTTTTGTCAATGAAGAACATATAGCAATTGGTTTAAAAACAATTGATTTCCGTAACAATATACATACTCCACCGCGTTTTTGGTTTTTTCTACAGTACGATGTGGCTAATTGAAATTGTTTTAATCGTATATTCGTTTCGCTCCCTCTCTTTACAAAGATTTCCGAAAAACAGAGTACATCCAATTCATTATTGTTTTTAGCAAAGTCATTAATACATATTTCCAATGTGTCCAATTTACTTAACAAACCCTGTATATTTTGATGAAATACTGTAAAATTCGACGCAGTTTCCTGGTATTTATGAAAGAAAAAAGTTATTGTTATTGCATATTTTAGTCATTTGATTGAGTTGAGTTTTATTTTTTAACACAGAAAAATAATCTAATATAGTAGTTTGCCGTAAATGAAATGTATTCATAGGTCTGTAACATTTAGTTTTCATAGAATAACGAGCATAGATAACAATTTTTTTAGGGTCTAGAAAACTTTGTGCATATTCGTCACTATCAATATCTAAATTAATTTTATTACAAAGCTGCTTATGTCTTAATTATATCTTAATACAAATTTATTATAAAAATTATCCGATGAAAAATCAAAAAATTTGCATTTTGGAAATAACTTTGTACATAATGATAGCCTATTGTTTAACAATTTTACATTGAAATGTTTATTAAAGTGCACTGGCACTACATAGACACGTATATGTTTCACTTTGTTAAGTGCTAAGTAAAGTTCAGACTCCAGTTTTATTATGTTGTCATCATGCCCTCCTACACCAAGCACAATCACGTCTTCTTTTGTGAGACTGTTAAGGAACGAGTCGTCAAGGTATTTCAGAATATGTGAGCTTGGTGCTTGACTTATTATAAATGCACTTACATTGTACTTGTCGTTCCATTTTTCAGCTCTAGTTTTGAGTAAGGCAAGGGATAGCCCGGAAAGTTGTTCGTCCCCCAAAATTACCAATTTTTTGTTTGTTTTTAACAGGGCTGGTTAACTGATGCATATGTAATAAATTATCCAGTGATTTGTCCTGTTCAAGGTTTTTAATAGCTGCATTTTCATTTTCTTCTATTTCTAAATTTTCTATTAATGAGTTTTCATTTTGTAAATCCGTGGAGGACAGCCCTATATTCTTCGTGTTAATCATCTTACGCGTATTTTTTTTTGGGTGGTTTTTCAGTTGATCCGCATATTTGTAATAGTTGCGTAATTTTTTGCTCTTGTGTAGCTATTTTTTTCTTTAATAAACTGTTCTCTAAAAGTACACTGTCAATTTCTTGATTTGCTGATGCTAATTTTTCATTTAGTTCTCCTATTATACGCACCATATCCTGTATTTTTTCATTGTCATCCGGTCTCAAGTCAGGACAGCTTCTGTTCAATGTATTGTGTAGTAGCTCGGGAGATGAGAGCACTGTATCCTCCTCTTTGTCATCAACTGAGAGCGAGTCAAAAGAATTTTCTATTGGTATGTTACTTGTGTGCTTTATTTGACACGTTATATTCTTATCCTGTCTACTTTTAGGAGAATCTAGTCTGAATCCTGACTCAGGAGTGCATTGATCCAATAGTAAGTTTCGTCTTTCACTTTTAGGAGTAAATTTTTCAAGTAATAGAATTTTAGTTTTGAGATTTGAAGTGGGACTGTGTGTTTTCTTTGTAATTGATACGGTCGTGAAATTATCATTAGCAGGAGTTGTATATGACGTGCTTGGGACGTTACTTAAACAATCACTACATTTCCAATTTCTTTTTTGCGTAGGTGTCATTATGTAGTACCTTTTTTCTGTTTTAGAACAATTAAGGTCAAATATTCCTTTACAAATAGTACAGTTAAGATATTGTCTTCCTTTAATAATCTGTTTACATTTATTGCATTGTTTACCCATAGCTCTTAATTATTTTTCTATTAATGTAAAAAATACCTTTGTCGGCGCACGTCATCGCGCCTTGGCCAAAAGTGGAGGACGCGGGGGGCGCGGACCGGTCGTTGACCCTGCGACTGCGCAGGCGCTTCCGTCGGACACTCAGCTGCGAGACGCGGTAGCAGACGGGCACTTCAGTATTCAATTTGCGTTGTATTTGTTCAGAGTATTTTACGGCATTAAATCTATAGTTAAATACAGTCCACTTATTTTATTTACAAAGTCCCGATAAGGCCTAAACATATGGTCCTTCGATCGCTAAACATTTACCAGTTTTTTGCCGTAATTAACGTCGACATTGTCAACGGTCACCGTGCGAACTTTGAACCCACGGCCACGTATATTGAAGAAGGAAGTCGTTCCCGTAGCAGCCTGCGTCATCATTGAAGACGCTGATGTCATCCTGGGAGTATAAAAACTGTATTTGAGTGAGCTTGTTCCAATTAGTTATTTTTCCACTTTTTTTCATGCCGAGAAAATCATTTCTACATATTTCATTGGCTAAGTTATATAAGTAATACTTCATTTACTTATAATAAGTAGGTACCTAATTTACTTCAGTGCTTTAAAAATTGCTTTGTCATTACAACGTTCGCTTGTTTAAATTTAAATGCTTATTCCGTTACAAATATCAAGCGCTCAAGTGTCCATTCGTTGACCTTGCGCTGATTCATATTTTACCTGCGCGCAACAGTCCTTTTGTTCTCGCACAGCAGTTATCTTTTTTATCCTAAAGTTATCGACGTTTTCTTTTCCTTTGCTGTGTTTATATAAAAATAAAATGGCAGATAGTTTAAAAACTTTATTGAAGAAGCGTAGTTCGATAAAATCAAAGCTTACAATTTACAACAATTATTTAAATTTAATTAAAAGTAGTTCTGATATTTCTGAGTTGTACGTCTAGACTTAGCGGAGCGTTTTAATAAATTCGAAACCTTATATTCAGAATTTGATGAATTACAGACAAACATAGAAGTGCTTGCCGATGATGCGGGGTCTGCGTTGGTTGAGCGTGAGGACTTTGACCGTCAGTTCTTTAATCTGGTGGCCATCAGGCGCAGCTTGCTCGGTGCTTCGTCCAACGGTGCTGGGTCAGAGGCGGGCTTCAGAGATGCTGACTCAGGTGCACACTGTTTAAATAAGAATAGTTTTGTTCGTTTGCCTAAAATAGATTTACCTCATTTCGATGGGAACTACCAGTGCTGGCTCGAATTTCGAGATACATTTACGTCATTAATACACGATAACTCTAGTATCAATGAAATAAACAAGTTCCAATATTTGCGCGCTTCATTGCAGGGAAACGCAGCCTTAGTTATTAAAAATATTGATTTTAAAGGCGATCATTATAAAATTGCGTGGGACATGTTGTGTGAGCGGTATAACAACAACCGTCTCCTTGTCAATAATCATATGCAAGCTTTGTTTGATATCGATCCTATAGTCAAGGAGTCAAGTGTCTCAATCAGAAACCTGGTAGATACACTTAATAAAAATGTAAGGGCACTAACAAAACTAAATCAGCCTACTCAATATTGGGACACATTATTAATATATGTCATGACTAAAAAATTAGATTTGACAACAAGTCGTGGCTGGGAAGAGCATAGGAACAATATTTTAAAAGATGATCCTACTTTAATGCAATTTTGTTCTTTTTTAAACAAGAAAGCGGATTGGTTAGAGTCCGTCGAGTCAAATATCAATTCTTCTCAGATGAATACTACTGTAGCTTTAAATAATAGTCATACATATAAACATTCCAATTCTCAAGTCACTCAAGTTAATAAAAAATCACATAATAATTTTAATAAAATAAATAAATGTCCACTTTGCTCCCAGGCTCATACATTATATAAATGTGAATCCTTTAGAAACTTAACTATAGAGGATCGCATAAAAAAGGCAAATGATTACAATGTTTGTCTTAACTGCTTGTGCGTCGGAAATTCTGTTAAGCAGTGTAAACTAACACATTGAAAATATTGCAAAACAAAGCACAATACGCTTTTGCATTTAGAATTTAGTGAACACAAACCATTTTCGAATCCATTGCCTTCTGCTTTGCCTTCTGCGTTAAACATCGCACTATCAGCCAATTCCTTGCAGCTTGCTACTCCTGCGCATGTTTTACTGTCCACAGCTATGGTGAACGTGATTAGCGGGACGGGTAAGAAGTACACTGCGCGGCTACTGCTGGACAACGGTAGTACCGCCAACTTTGTTACGCAGAGACTATCAGAGAAACTGGGTTTGTCACATCGCGATACGAGCACCAAGGTAATGGGTATTAATAATCACATATCCACCAGTACACAGTCTTGTCACCTCACAATTGAGTCTTTATGCTGTGTATTTACTGTCGATATCGAGTGTCATATTTTACCCGAAATAACAAAGGTTCTACCGTCTTCATTCGTGCATATAAATCACGTCCCTATTCCTTCAGGTCTAACACTAGCAGACCCGAACTTTAATGTTCCGTCGGTCGTAGACATCCTGGTAGGGGCTGAGGTGTTTTGGAATGTCTTAGGCAGCAAAACTATAGATTTAGGGAAACATTTACCTAAATTGTGCGAAACTAAATTCGGTTGGCTTGTCTCCGGTAAAGTATTTCACATCAATCTAGTTTTGTTTCATCACACCTTTGTCAGCATTCCAACGTCACTCCCGACCTAACTCAATTTTGGGAGCTTGACAACGTGTCGTCAAAACATTCACTTTCTCTTGAAGAAAGGGTCTGTGAACAACTTTTTGCCCAAACCACCGTTCGTAAAAATGATGGTAGGTTTGTCGTGACGATGCCCTTAAAAGAGGACTCTAGAACTTTAGGGCATTCGTATGAAAACGCAAAAAATCGTTTTCTATCCCTGGAACGGCGATTTAAACGCGATCCTTCATTTAAAACTAAATATTGTGAATTTATGAGAGAATATGAGCATTTAGGTCATATGATTTTAGACTCTGACTGTACTTCTACGCCTAAAAACTCCGTGATCACATATTTCATTCCACATCATGGAGTCATTCGTAGCTCTAGTACCACTACTCAACTACGCGTAGTATTCGACGCATCAGCCTCTACCAGTTCGGGCGTGTCTCTTAATGACATTCAGATGGTCGGTCTCGTAGTGCAAGACGATCTCTTTTCCATTTTAATACGTTTTCGTCAACATAGATACGTGGTCTCAGGTAATGTAGAGAAGATGTATAGAGCCATTGAGCTAAATCCAGTCCAACGTCCTCTACAAAAAATTATTTTTCGGTTTGATCCTTCAGAACCTCTTAGAACCTATACATTAAATACGGTCACCTATGGTACCGCTTCTGCTCCTTATTTAGCCACGAAGTGCCTGGTAAGTCTGGCTGATAACATTGAGGATAGTCAGGTCCAGCGGGCCATACGACGTGACTTCTACGTTGATGACTATTTGAGTGGAGGAAACACCATAGCTGAGACTGTAACAATTGCAAAACGCGTACAATCGGTTCTATCTTCCGCTAAATTTAACTTACGCAAATGGCGATCAAACCATCCTCAAATTCTAAATCAAATTACAAACAGTAACGAATCGTATGATACTCATACGTTGCATTTTTATAAGCAGGGTTTAAATTCACATCAATCTAAAACTTTGGGTCTTAATTGGGATTGCGATTCTGATTCACTTACTTATACTATTAACATAAAGTCGACCACTAAAGTTACTAAACGTCACGTCCTCTCAGTTATCAGTCAGATTTTTGACCCATTAGGCCTTGTAGGTCCATGCGTTGTCGAAGCGAAAATAGTCATGCAGCGTTTATGGCTACACAACTATGACTGGGACGACGAAGTATCGCTCGAGGTCAGAAACCTTTGGTCGACATTCGAAAATACAATAACATCTTTAAATAATTTAAAGATTCCTCGTTGGGTTTTGCGTGAAAACTCTAGTACGCATGAAGTACACGTCTTCACCGATGCGTCCGAAAAAGCTTATGGCGCATGTGTGTACATTCGGTCATGCAGTAACAGTAATACTATTGGCGTACAACTTCTAGTTTCTAAAAATCGTATAGCGCCCATCAAGCCGACAACAATACCAAGGCTTGAACTATGTGAAGCATTGTTAGGTGCCAGACTGTGTACCAAGGTTCAGGAAGCGCTTTCTTTACCCATTCACCGATGTAGATTCTGGTGCGACTCAACCATAGTCTTGGGTTGGCTCTCTACTCCAGCTAATCAATTAAAATCTTTTGTGAGAAATAGAGTCAACGAGATACAGGAGAGCACTTATGGTCATACCTGGAGCTACGTACCGTCGAGGGACAACCCGGCGGATCTTGTTTCCCGTGGTCTTAAAGCTAACGTTATCAAGGACACACCAATGTGGTGGTCCGGACCCTCTTTTCTGTTGCGTAATGAAAATGAGTGGCCTAAAATGCCAAATACAGAGGAACACGATTTGCCGGAGGTAGTGACTCATTTCACATGTAGTGATAGCGACCATCATGTACTTAGTAATCATTCACATTCAACCATATATTCATCTATCATTCATCGCTTATTAGAAAAATATTCTAGTTTTCCAAAAATTCAAAGGTTGTTTGCATATGTACAAAGATTTATACATAATCTAAAAAATAAAAATAAATTGTGTGGCGATCTTTCCGTAACAGAACTCCAAGATTCGTATAATGCAATAATACATTATTCACAGTTAGAAATGTTTTCTGAAGAATTTCATCTTTTAAAATCTAAACAAAAATTGCCACGCAATAGTAGATTGATTTCTTTGACTCCGTTCATTGACGATCATAACCTCATCCGCGTGGGCGGGAGGCTTGATAACTCCCCCTACGATTTTAGTGTAAAGCATCCCATAATAATTTGCAGTAAGCACATACTTACTAAGCTCATATTTCAAATGAAACATTTAGAGCTACTACATGCCGGTCCTCAATTACTATTGTCACATATAAGACAGACTTATTGGCCCATGGGTGGTAGAAACCTTTCTAGAAATATCGTGAATAAATGCCTTAAGTGTTTCAGACATAAAGCTCAAAGCGTTCAGCCTATAATGGGTCAACTACCTCAGTCAAGAACTCATCTCGAATTTCCATTTTTAAATTGTTATGTTGACTACGCTGGGCCAGTATTGGTGGCCGATCGCAGAAGTCGCGGCTGCAAACTTACAAAATCTTATATGTGCATTTTTGTTTGCTCTGCACTGAAAGCCGTACATTTGGAGCTCGTCAGTGACCTCACCTCTGAGGCTTACATGGCCGCTTTAAATCGTTTCGTGGCGCGTCGAGGCAAGCCTCAAAGCATTACGTCCGATAACGGGACAAATTTCGTAGGCGCATCAAATGAAATGCATAGGTTCTTGCATTCATCGAGTGTTGCATCTGAAATCGCACAACAGGGTATCGAATTTATTTTCACGCCTGCTTACAGCCCACATTTTAATTCACTAGCTGAGGCTGCTGTTAAATCTTGCAAACAACATTTAAAAAGACTTTTAAAGCTTACCCATTTTACCTTTGAGGAGATGGTTACTTGTCTTACGCACATAGAGGCGGTCTTGAATTCGCGTCCTCTTACTCCTCTCTCTTCAGACCCTAACGATTTTTCGGCACTTACTCCCTCTCATTTCCTGATTGGACGACCACTCTTATCTGTACCACATTCCCAGGTGACTGATGCCAACATCACGCGACTGGATCGCTGGAGGAGAATACAGTACATCAGACAGCATTTCTGGAGCCGATTTCATAATGAATACATCTCTCTGCTGCAGGCCAAATCCAAGTGGTTTCATTCCAGAGGTGAAGTGAAGCAGTAGTCTTTAGTTCTTATCAAGGACAAGACAACACCACCGCTGCTCTGGTCCCTGGGCCGGGTCATGACGACCTATCCCGGCGTAGACGGAGTCACGCGAGTGGCTGAGTTGAAGACGAAGCGAGGCATCATTCGTCGTGCTGTCAACTGCATCTGTCCTCTGCCAATTGAAGATTGAAGACGTCTCTTCAACCCGGGGAATATGTCGGCGCAAGTCATCGCGCCTTGGCCAAAAGTGGAGGACGCGGGGGGCGCGGACCGGTCGTTGACCCTGCGACTGCGCAGGCGCTTCCGTCGGACACTCAGCTGCGTGACGCGGTAGCAGATGGGCACTTCAGTATTCAATTTGCGTTGTATTTGTTCAGAGTATTTTACGGCATTAAATCTATAGTTAAATACAGTCCACTTATTTTATTTACAAAGTCCCGATAAGGCCTAAACAACCTTTTACCTTTTATTGGTGACCTCTATGACTTTCACTAGTTCCTAATTACTGAATTTTTTATATATAGACATTTAATATAACAATTATAATCATAAAGAAAAATAAAAGAAAACAAAACAAAACAAAACAAAAACAAAAATATTTACAAAAACATCTTGTTGTTTGTCGATTTAGTAATAATTAGTTGTATGTATTATGATGCATGGGCAAACGTGTCTAAATATTGCTACAAGTTTAAAAAGTGGTTTTTAATGCTTAATAATATGCAAATGATTCATAACGAGCACCGTTCGTAGAGTACTTTTAAATTTTAATCCACCGTCACACAATTGATTTCAATGCTTTATACCTTAGACTTATTTTCTAACACTTTATCCATAATGATATACTTTTATTGCTAAAATGTTAATGCTTAACACATAGTTTTTATATTAAATAGTCTTCTTTTGTTATATAGGTTCCAATAAATATAGACTTAGATCACTAGTTTATTTTATGCCACAAAAATTATACAAAATACTCGTATTTAAAATAATGTTCAGATATATACTATCACTACACACTAATGATTTTAAATTTTTATACACTGCTTAGTTCTGATGCTTATATTTACTATTTTAAAGACGTATTTGATACTGATTGCTCAAATTATAAGTTATTTTTAGTTTTAGGTATGTCTTTATGCACTGAGTTAATGAAACGTTTTAAAGTAACTTGTTCTTGATATTTAGCTTAGATAACACTTGTACATCCGTATTGGCACTTTAACTTCGCATTTTACTATAAATTACGAATTATTACAAAAGAAAACTATTTATAATTATTTTTAATGTGTGGAGCACTTGTTTACGTGACTAGTAACGCGAAGATGTATATCTTCGCGGTACTAGTCACGTAAACAAGTGTATATTTTATATTTGCTTTTGCAACACTCCAAAAAGTTTTGACCAAAAGGGTTGGGTCGTAGAGTAGCAGTTCTTGTGTGTCAGGGTACCGAGAGAGCAGCTCCTTAGGTTGGGATTCTATAGAACTGATCATCTTCGTTATAGGTACATGAGGTTTTACAGATATCTGACCTTCTTCAAGCTCATAGGTAAATTGAGCATATTTGATAACCTTCTTTGTAATCTTGGGTGGTGGCACATCTTTGGGGGCGGTTGTTGGATTGGTGAACTTCTCTAACAAAGTCTTCACATGTTCCTCCAATTTAGAGTAGTATGTAGTCGATATAATTGAGGACTGATCTCTCCAACTTTTCTCCGCAGATGTAACTGACTTTTTGAACTCATGAACAGAATGGGCTGTAAGTTTCTGATTTGCAGCTAGATTAGCCATTTTTTTCATCACATCTTTTAGTGTGAGTCCCCCTCAATCATAGAGACTATCATGCCTCTTAGAAAAGAACCAGGATCCAGGGCATCATTCGGGGTCCCGTGAGGGGGAGGTGAAATGAAGTAAGTTGTGAGGAATATGTTGATACGATCCTTCCCTAAGCTTTCCCATTGGTCGTCCAGTAATGTAAATATTGTTGTAGGGAGAGGGAGAGTACTTTTGATTAACTTTATAATGTCTGGTCTTCTAGTTTCAAAAACTTTAAGGTTGCTAGAGGTATCCTTACATTCTGCTTTCAAATTTGCCAACCCGATTTGAAACAGCTCTACAGGGTTCTCTTCAGGATCTGATGGTCGGGATGAGGTCTTATTGGGGTCCTTTTGTGATGGAGCCGAGTTAATCTTCTTGGCCTTTTTTGATTCAGCTGCAGTGGAGGGGGGAACAGTTTTTGGGTTGTCTAACTGCTTCTTTTGTAAGGAAGAGTTGGAGGGAGTGTTGATGTCTGGGATGTTCATGCTGTCCACTAGAGTTTTGTCATATCCAAGTTCATCAGAGAACTTCTTTTCAAAATTTGGAGGAATCTCCAATGGCTTATGGGAGGTTTTATTCCCCTATTGCTGTTTACCCTTTTTAGAGGACACGTTAAACTTGTAAGTAAGGTCAAGACTCTTTTGAAGAAAATATAAAATGTTAGTCAATTAATGACTGAGTTATGGAACAAATCTTTTAAGTCTTGAATTTTCGCAGCTGATAGTTCACGCCCATTTGGGGATAAGATAGGAAGATCAAGTGCAAAATTCGGTTTTTGTTTCCGACTCTTTCCACTTTTTGAAATGGCAATCACCTGAGGTTGCTCCTCGAGATTTTTGATTTTAGAGATCTGTAGAAACATTTTTAAGTATTCATATAAAATTAAAATGTAAATTACTATAACAATTTATATTGTAACTAATAATAACAAAAATAACGTTCTTTCTTTTACAAAACTTAGTCATTCTTCCTTACTAGCTCAATAATTTTAAACTAAACATGTGTTTATTTATCCAGAACTTTAATCAGTCTCATTGTAGGATCACTTTGACTTAATATTATCTAAAACTAATCTGATCGTCACTTTAAATATTATAGCCAAAAAATCACAACAACTAACGTGTAAGTTAACAAGAAAGTGCTTAATCGTCAATAAAATTTTCTTCTATACCGAAATCAATAGAATTACCCAAGCCATCAGCATCATCAATAAAATCACCCGACTTAACGTTCCTCAAGAAATTATAACATCCTTTTGCATCTGTTGGAATGATTACAAATTTTATAGTTGATTGTTTCTGATACTTAATGAAATGGGTTAATATGCATGGTTAGCAATGCCGTGGGATCTGAGACATTGCCTTGGTTAGGGAGGACATAGGGCTTTCTTTAGGGTTTGCTTTTGCAACACTCCAAAAAGTTTTGTCCAAAAGGGTTGGGTCGTAGTGTAGCAGTTGTTGTGTGTCAGGGTAACGAGAGAGAAGCTCCTTAAGTTGGGATTCTGTTCAGTTGCCTGTATGCTGTCAAATCTGTTGAAGAATGTAGCTTCATCTCCCGTCTAACAACCATGAGATTAAGAGTGTGATCGGAGAGTTTTTGTGTTCTTCTGCGGCGGGTCTTGCAGAACTTAGCTCCGACCGCATCGACAGTTTCCACGAGCTTGTCATTCATATCGTCCACTTCATTGCAGTCTTCTTGGCACTGGAAACGGTTTTGTAACTCGAGCTGAAAGGTTTCGGGACTTTGGATTAGAGCACGAGGGGGACGGAGCGTTGACTTCATTAGACGAGACCTCTCCAACTTAACGTTTAGGTGACTAGTACCGCGAAGATATATATCTTCGCGGTACTAGTCACGTAAACAAGTGTATATTTTATATTTGCTTTTGCAACACTCCAAAAAGTTTTGACCAAAAGGGTTGGGTCGTAGAGTAGCAGTTCTTGTGTGTTAGGTACCGAGAGAGCAGCTCCTTAGGTTGGGATTCTATAGAACTGATCATCTTCGTTATAGGTACATGAGGTTTTACAGATATCTGACCTTCTTCAAGCTCATAGGTAAATTGAGCATATTTTATAACCTTCTTTGTAATCTTGGGTGGTGGCACATCTTTGGGGGCGGTTGTTGGATTGGTGAACTTCTCTAACAAAGTCTTCACATGTTCCTCCAATTTAGAGTAGTATGTAGTCGATATAATTGAGGACTGATCTCTCCAACTTTTCTCCGCAGATGTAACTGACTTTTTGAACTCATGAACAGAATGGGCTGTAAGTTTCTGATTTGCAGCTAGATTAGCCATTTTTTTCATCACATCTTTTAGTGTGAGTCCCCCTCAATCATAGAGACTATCATGCCTCTTAGAAAAGAACCAGGATCCAGGGCATCATTCGGGGTCCCGTGAGGGGGAGGTGAAATGAAGTAAGTTGTGAGGAATATGTTGATACGATCCTTCCCTAAGCTTTCCCATTGGTCGTCCAGTAATGTAAATATTGTTGTAGGGAGAGGGAGAGTACTTTTGATTAACTTTATAATGTCTGGTCTTCTAGTTTCAAAAACTTTAAGGTTGCTAGAGGTATCCTTACATTCTGCTTTCAAATTTGCCAACCCGATTTGAAACAGCTCTACAGGGTTTTCTTCAGGATCTGATGGTCGGGATGAGGTCTTATTGGGGTCCTTTTGTGATGGAGCCGAGTTAATCTTCTTGGCCTTTTTTAATTCAGCTGCAGTGGAGGGGGGAACAGTTTTTGGGTTGTCTAACTGCTTCTTTTGTAAGGAAGAGGTGGAGGGAGTGTTGATGTCTGGGATGTTCATGCTGTCCACTAGAGTTTTGTCATATCCAAGTTCATCAGAAAGATTCTTTTGAAAATTTGGAGGAATCTCCAATGGCTTATGGGAGGTTTTATTCCCCTATTGCTGTTTACCCTTTTTAGAGGACATGTTAAACTTGTAAGTAAGGTCAAGACTCTTTTGAAGAAACTATAAAATGTTAGTCAATTAATGACTGAGTTATGGAACAAATCTTTTAAGTCTTGAATTTTCGCAGCTGATAGTTCACGCCCATTTGGGGATAAGATAGGAAGATCAAGTGCAAAATTCGGTTTTTGTTTCCGACTCTTTCCACTTTTTGAAATGGCAATCACCTGAGGTTGCTCCTCGAGATTTTTGATTTTAGAGATCTTTAGAAACATTTTTAAGTATTCATATAAAATTAAAATGTAAATTACTATAACAATTTATATTGTAACTAATAATAACAAAATTAACGTTCTTTCTTTTACAAAACTTAGTCATTCTTCCTTACTAGCTCAATAATTTTAAACTAAACATGTGTTTATTTATCCAGAACTTTAATCAGTCTCATTGTAGGATCACTT